CTTTCACTTCGCTCTGAAAGGCCAAGAAGATAATTTTCTCAAAAATCTTTGATACCGTTGGAATCACAGATATAAGTCTATAATTACTCGGCTCATGCTTTGCACTGTTCTTATATACTGGTGACACCCTTGCTTCTTTCCATTCATCTGGAAAAACTCCAGTATGAATAGATTTAGCAAATATCTCTGTTAAAGAAGGTGCAATCACATCTACCACCATTTTTAACAATTTTATCAAGACCAACAGATTTCTTTTCATCAATCGTTTCAACAATCTGTGGACTCTATCAATCGTAGGAGTTTGCAGGTTGAACGTTTTATCTGTAGGTGTGAGATAGACCTCTGGATTGTACTCAGAAGCAGGTATTTCAGCTGCAAGATCAACCCCAACATTTGAGAAATAGCTATTAAACGTTTCAGCCATTTCGACAGGTGAAGTTACTACTTGCTCGCCTATTTTAATTTCCAAAATTCTTTTAATTTCGTACAGATTCGCGAATTTAACTCATTAATTAACTTCCATGTTTTTTTTTCATATCTCCTTCATGTTTATCAAGATTTTTGGTAAAGTAAAGTCGCTTTGCTTTTTTGATTTCATTGTTGACCTGATTTCTTGCATGTCTATATTGAAACAATTTTTGTGAATCTTTAGAAGAGATTAATTAAGAAATCACAATTAAAAATTACATGTCTTAATTTATTGGTAACCCAGGGGGATCGCTTGCTGCTGACTCACCTGGTCCTAAGTGGTGCATGCCTGTCAATTACATTCATTAATAAATCTTTCCATGTTGCCCAAATTACATTTGAGTCTTCATGGTGATAGACTTTTTCCCAAGGTTGTTGTCGCAGTTCGCTTACAAAACTATTCCTGTCTGTACATAATGTGCTTTGTGTATAATATAGACCATCGAGTGGTCACTAATTGAAAGATGAATTACACCAGAATCGACCGTTGTTGATAATGAGTTTATTAGGCAGAGGTCAATCATAGTGGTAGATTTCTTGGTAATTCGAGTTGGTTCTTCAATCAACTGATGCAGGTCATAGATATCAAATAGTTCAGTTAATGTGTTTTTACATGAGGAGTTAGCCGTCGGTATAAAATCAACATTTATGTCCGCAAGAAGAAAATATTCCAAATTTTTGGCGTCAAGTGCCCCAATCATTGTTTCGAACTCGGCAATATGACTTACTGGAGAATCATTGTAATGCCTAATGATGCAATAAGGATAAAAATACCACCGTTCAATTCAGTGCAAGAAATTGTACTTATGGATGTCAAATGTATTACTAAACAACAGTATTCTAGCGATTTATGGCCTTTGTTTTTGAAAGCCAAGGGAAATTGTATTGTTAACAATTCACTGGCAAAATTATTAAACTAATTATAAAAAATGCAGGACGTTGATCCTTGATAACTTTGGTATCATTTTTTTTCTTCTTCAGCCATATACCAGTGGATTTGTCTTACTTCTCTCTTCATTTTGATAGTATTTTGAGCCGGCAAAAAACCCCAAATATTTTATTTTTCAACATTTTACAGCGCAGTTAACCTAGAGACAGAAGAATGTAGCGTACTAAATATACGTTTACTTGCAGAAGGAAAGCCGGAAGTTTTATTTGTAGGGCACTGCATTTTAGTAATGTGTCTGGTTTTACAAAATCCTGAATTGGGGTCATACTAACAATAGTATAATGACCTGCAATACAAACCTAGCGAATTTGAGAGCGGCAGCACTTTCTCTTTGACAAGCAAAATCGACTGGTACGAGACATTAATATAACAAAACCGGATGCATTGCTATTGAAGCACAATGCAAATATGGTGACAAAATTTAGTTTTCATTTTCATATAGCCCCAGCGAGTTCGTGCTCTATAGAGCATCTTGTTTTAATAGTAGAGACCTTACAATTTTAGGACGGTAATGCGATGGCGACAGCAAAAACAAACTTCAAATAAATGGTAGTAAAGATAGTTTGTCGTATATTATCAATCGTATGAATTTAATACAGTTTTAGAAGTTGAAGACATGGGTTTTATAGTTGGGAAGAGTTCTTCTAAACCCAGTTTGAAGTTGCACTTGTTGTGGCTTGGAATGCAGTCGTTGTATCAAGATGTGAAAATCTGTGACTTGGCATTGTATACAGAGCGAGGACAATGCCTAAATTATTCATATATTGTAATTACTCAATTCTTTTCAATAATATATTGTATTGGTTGCTGTTGCATTGCCGTCCTAAAATAGTAAGGTCTCTAGTAACCACTGCAAGAGGCGGCACGCTGGTGCGAATGGCCCAATGCTATACAGGGTAAAATAAAAACAACTGCCTGAGGTCCTGTGCTGCGACTCACTCTAGACAAACTCACTTTTCCTATAACGACAATATATGCTACATTCATCTCTAGTTTTCTTGCTATTATCGGCTTAGATATCATCGTCAACTGGGCCAAAGTCTAACAAAAGATTGGTTAAATATCATCAAAATGATTAAATATTTACAGTATTACTACGTCTACTCACTTGACGAATGAATGCTGTTCTAATATTATGAATGTTGTGCTGCCATGCAATGTAGGTAGATTCTTCAATAAAGTTTTTGTGTGAATGGATAAACTAAGATAACATAAGAAAACTTCAACGTTTCAAACAAAAGCTCTTCATCTGGAAGTTAATAGGAACTACTATTCACCTGGAAGCTTTAAGCACTAGTTAAAGTGTGAGCAGCCGATCTTTATCTGATATACAAACTCGAGTAGAAAATAAAACCACCCATCTTACAAGTTCATTGGTGAAATAATTTAAAAAGTAAACATTGTCTAAGCCGAGAAAATCAAAGCTGAAGTTTATGTAAATCATGACAAATTTTTATTTACAAACATTGATTAAACATTCATTTCTTTTGTATTTTCCTCATGTTATCTAAATTCAATCGCATTAAAATTACCTCAACTAACTCATACATGCATGCATCCATGCAAGACCTGCTTCTTATACGAAAGATAAGACTCCTTTTTCATACAAAACTGGATTGCGATGTTTTTACCTTCTAACTGGGTGTTTCTTGGATTTTTGCCTTTGAACTGATGCGCCAGGCCTTCATCAACGGCGATAAGATTTCCAACAACTTCCATTTGAATGGTCGATTGTGGCAGTCTGTAAAATTGTTTGTGTACATGAATATCATGGCCAAGATGGTTAGCTAACCACCCCATCTCTAACTTGTTCATGTCCACAATCTGGCCGACAGTGGCTATGTACTTTCTCAAGTTAGTTGACTTGATGAGTTCAGGTTCCTTCAGATCCAGTTTTTTGCAAATTTTCTTCATTGCATCAGGTCCTCTTAAAGGGTTTTCCGACCGGCTGTCATTCACCGCAAACTTCACCTTCAGTTCTTCTCTTATTTAAAGAATTGATAGCAGCCTTGACATCTTTTGTTAGAATTACTGGTACTTTCCATTGCCTTTTTCCAACTATTTCCACCAGGTCAAGCCTTAATGAAACATTTCAAACTCAGAACATGAAACACTATATGTCTAAATAATGCAATAGGCCGGACATTACCCGTGAACATCCAACTTATTACAAGTACTTTGTTTTACCTAACTTACGCTTATGTTTACATAAACATTCATGTGGAAGGAATCGCAAATTGCTCGTTTGCAATCATTTGAAATCTTGGTTGATTTTCGTTGCAACTAAAAATCTATATTCTTCATTCTTTGTCGTATTGTGCCACAAATCGTAAACTATCCATAATACAGCAAGATGTTTTAAAAAAACCCCAGAAATATTAAATTAATTCAACTATTTCAATGTAAATGGCTGGACAAAACTTTAAAATCAACCAAGATGGTGCTTAATGACACACAGTGATGTCATGTGCAAGCCAAGAATACCCCACATTGGCTAACTCTTTTCACAATGTCCATGAGTATATCTCTACATTGCTGGGCTTTTTCGGAGAACAGAATTGCATGATGGGATGATAAAATGCTTTTCCTTTCATCAAGTATTAGAATAATCACTGCTTTCTCTTCTTTCATGATGAATAATGTCTTTTGTTTATCTTGGCTTTATTTATGCTAGACCACTGTATAAATGTTTTTTTTTGCAAACAACCTTTGTACATGTATCTTCATATATAGAATATTTCCAATCGTTTATTCAGTAAGATATTTGGTCTGCTTTTTATTTATATATGGAGAGTTTAGTCAGAGGCGTAGACAGGATTTTCCGTCAGGGGGCGGCAGCAGAAAACACCCAAGTGGGGCCAAGCCACCAGTGACTCGAGACATAAAGTTTGCGCAAGGCATTCTGTGCAGTGCTGAATAAAATTAATTGTTGACACATGTGATTTTTCACCGAGCCTATGTTAAAAATTCACTGGTAAAAAACAGATTGGTTTAAACTTCATATAACCCCTCATTTAATACATATTGAAATAATTAGAGTTAGAAAAGGTATGTGTTTCAAGCTGTGTGCCGCAAATAAGCGAACAAGATTTTAGGTTTCACTCTGATGTGCAATTGGTCTTTTCTTCACGTATAAATATGGCACTTATGTTTATTATCACTATGACTTTCTTTCTTGCATAAAATAAGGATAGGAAACTGCTATTATCGAAATCACTAGAGTGGTTAATTGTAGCATCGGAATCGAACGTCAAAGGCTCGTTTTTATGTACCATGTGATAGCAAATGTTTACGCCACAGGATGAAAATTTTTGAAGGTGGGCATGCAATGGTGTTCAGCTCGAAAGGTAGATATTTTACTCGAGGCATGTGTCTTGAGGAATCTGTAAGGGGCGAAATTATTGATGACATATTATTAGATGGTGGGGATAGTGAGACAGGGCATTTTCCTGGACTGTGGTCTACAATTGGTGCCAAGCACAAAGTTCATGGGAAAACTGTGAAAGACATTTGGGGAAAATTTATGAGCAGTGGGTCTGTTAGCCCAAGGAAACATATCTTGGGAAATCCGAGTAAATTAGCAGTGGGTGAGTTACAGCTTGTCGAAGCTATGAAGACCCAAGACAACAATGTGAATGTCAACAAATATGAACCAACTAAAAACAACAATGTGAATGTCAACAAACAACAATGTGAATGTCAATGTGAAACACAGACAACAATGTGAATGTCAACAAATATGAACCAACTAAAAAAAATCGGTTTTTATAGCAACTAAAGATAATTATATTAATTTAATTAATATGAATCATTATCAATCATTTCTAACTCTTCTAAAGCAGCTTCAGCGAGGGTGTACAAATTTAGACTGTAGTTTCTACGATTTTCTGCCACGCTTGCTATCAGCGGTGACATCGGCGGTGCTTGGGCTTTGATGGCTTCATGTTCGACGGCTTCGCGTTCTATATTTTTAACAATGTTACTCTGATCAGGCAGATTTTGTTGTGTCTCATCTGAGTCGAAATCGCTTTCGATATCATTTCTTGTTTCAAAGGCCTCTAGGTCAAAGGAATTCGGCAATGTTTCAAAACTATTTTGCATCCCTAAAGCCAGATTGACGTCGTCACAACATGGGCCTGCGAACGCCGCCTTTTTTCATTGTGGGGAGCGAAGTGTGTTGTCAATTTCATCACAGTCACTCGAACTAGTTGCACTGCTACTGCTTCGAGAATTGTCATGCGACTTGGGCCACAAAACTCCTTGTGATTCCCGTAGCTTTTTATACGGATTGTGGACAGATGTTTTCCCAGCTTTTTTAATATTAATCCGACTGTCAAATGCCGTTATGGTGGTATTTTTTGCTTCCTCAGCAGAAGGAATTTTATGTTTGAAATTTGTTAATATACAAGCTTAACTGATTGCAAATAATGTTTTCTACGATTTTGGCCAATGCACAAATCACAGATATAGGTCTATAATTTCCACACTCAGCCTTGTCTCCTTTGTGAATGCCCGTAGGAAAATGAAAGGTCTAAATAGGTCTAGAAAAAGTCTTTGATAGGTCTACAAGACCTATTCTAGACCTTTGCTAGACAATTGCACAAGTAAAATTGTCTTTGAAAAGTCTTGCAAGACTTTTACATCTCATTTGACTTTGAAAAGTCTGGAGTTGTCTTCAGTAGAAGTCTTGAAAGGTCTTCCAATGTCTTCATCAGATCTGGCGAACTATAAAAGTCTAGAATTGTCTAATTATTTGGGTAAAAGCTAGCTATAGCCTTGAAAGGTCTTGCAATATATCTTCGTTTAATTAATCGTTAGAACTGTTGCCGACCTATAAATAACTTCGACGTTCTCAATGACAATATATGACATATAGTCATCGTCCATAGAGGAAAGACTATAGAGGCCTGGCTATAGACATTGTCCTAAAGCGATCGCAAAAGGTTGATGATCGCGCAAGATTTTGCCCTGAATGGAATTTATGGAAATCCATCTTTGACTTTGTCTAAAATAATTAAATATGTATGCATACACATATATAAACACATGTATAAGACCGCGGTCAAAGTCTTATAATGGTCAAGTGAAAACTGTCTACATGTATATGCAAATAGGAACAAAATTATTAATAATTAAAGTTTTTGCCACTTAACGTAACACTTCTAGGACATTTTAGTGAGAAGTGTGACAGAAATTGAATATTACCTATATAGACTATAGTGCTTAAAAAATTCAGATTTATGTGGTTATTGTGATTATAGCAAATTTTGCTATTCGAAGCAAACTGAACAAATTAGGTTTGACAGCCCAATGACTCTTGTGCCAACCACGCTATTTTTTTCTATGCTATTGTTTCCCACGCTACTGTATCAATTACAAGCCAACCGAGTCATCCCCCACTTTGCTATTTGCTATTTTATTACTTATTCGCATGACCTATTTACAAGGTATTGCTAACTTTTCAATAATATATTACATAAAATGTGATTAAGAATATTAATAGGTCTTATCTATTTTACTTTACTTTACAAAATAACAAAATGTTGTAGGATATCTGACTATTTATTTACAATATCAAAGATTTGAATTATGTATATGCAAATAGGAACAAAATTATTAATAATTAAAGTTTTTGCCACTTAATTAATGTTGCACTTGTAGGACATTTTAGTGAGAAGTGTGACAGAAATTGAATATTACCTATATAGACTATAGTGCTTAAAAAATTCAGATTTATGTGGTTATTGTGATTATAGCAAATTTTGCTATTCGAAGCAAACTGAACAAATTAGGTTTGACAGCCCAATGACTCTTGTGCCAACCACGCTATTTTTTTCTATGCTATTGTTTCCCACGCTACTGTATCAATTACAAGCCAACCGAGTCATCCCCCACTTTGCTATTTGCTATTTTATTACTTATTCGCATGACCTATTTACAAGGTATTGCTAACTTTTCAATAATATATTACATAAAATGTGATTAAGAATATTAATAGGTCTTATCTATTTTACTTTACTTTACAAAATAACAAAATGTTGTAGGATATCTGACTATTTATTTACAATATCAAAGATTTGAATTATGTATATGCAAATAGGAACAAAATTATTAATAATTAAAGTTTTTGCCACTTAATTAATGTTGCACTTGTAGGACATTTTAGTGAGAAGTGTGACAGAAATTGAATATTACCTATATAGACTATAGTGCTTAAAAAATTCAGATTTATGTGGTTATTGTGATTATAGCAAATTTTGCTATTCGAAGCAAACTGAACAAATTAGGTTTGACAGCCCAATGACTCTTGTGCCAACCACGCTATTTTTTCTATGCTATTGTTTCCCACGCTACTGTATCAATTACATATGAGGTGTGATATCCGCCAAAATTCATTTATTGAATCATGCTATTCAAAATTGCATTTTGTTGTGCAATTATGCAATGCCTACTTGCAATTATGGTGAATTTCATTCGGAGTGAAAATTCATTCGGCTTGCGATTTCATTCGGAGTGATATTCATGTTTCATTCGGAGTGAAATCAATATTCGCCGTGCAATTTCATTCGGCGTTAATTCAATATTTGTGAAATTTCATTTGGCTTGAAATTTCATTCGGCGTGGCACTCAGAAACCAAAATTTGACAACCGGAAGCGAGAGCCTTATTTGGGCAAAACACGCGAAAATGGTAATTCCAATATGGCCGAGGGTGAAGGTTTTGATCGTCGGCGAGCAGTTTCCTTATTGCAGGAGGCAACAAGGTTGATTGGAGAATATTCTGGCTCATCATATACGTCAACAACCCAATTTTTAAACAGTGAGCCTATTGAAAACGCGATAACCCAAGGCCAACAACAGCATCATCAACGAACGGACAATATAAACCAAAGGCAAAACATCAGGTAGTACCGAAAGTAATACAAGTTCAACCCCTTCGCCATCGCTGGTCAACAGTGTTAGGGAACGATCGCTAGGTAATTTTAGAGATCTTTTTGCTCCTTATGTAAGCAGTAACCGAAGAAGTCTCAGTTCCTCACACCAATCAGCTCATCCACCAAATAAGCGAAAGAAACAAAATGCTGTTCTGAAATTTAAAGTGTGTGAAACGTGGACACACACATTTTTTTGCTTGGCCAATCGCAAGCAAATTGTGGCTCCCAGTATAGCTCTCAAGACACGCTTACAACAAGCTGGCTTAGGCCGGAAAAAGATTTGTTTTAACTGGAAAGCGACTGCGGCAGAAGTGAAAACAAAGCTGGAAGAGATTTATCCAAAGTTAGAAAATGGCTGAGGCTGAAATTATGAGGCGTGGTCTACAAGCCAATGAGTTGATGGTCATACAGCCACCACGCAGTGGATACAGCGTACCATATCTAAGGGATTCGGCAGGGTTGGGGCAAGCCATTGCCTTCATTCGGCCAATACAAACTAACTTAGGCATGGAACCTGAACCACTTATGGACAGTTCTGAGGTACTGTGAACGCTTAACAAAATTCATAAAACATTTTTGCAATTGTTTCTATCAGAAATCCTTAATCTCATATCCCCAACCTTAAAACCATTGTAAGCACCCCTTGAGCAAAACATTGTAAGCATGGCTTGAGCAAAAACATTGCACCTATCCCCCCGCCACACACTTTTTTCTCCTTAGGTTGTTTTTTATGACACAACATTATATATGTATAATTCAAATTTTGATACAATATACAGGTATCAGTTGAAAGCCAACATTTACATGGAGAGAATTTATAAGGAGGGTCTTTTACAAACGATTAATATCACTGTTCTAAAGTACACGAAGTAAGTCAGTTTTTAGATTTTTAAAGTATACAAATATATATTTTAGGATACTGGTTCTGTTCCTTTGGTAAAGTGTATGAATTGTGAGGTTGAAGTATTGATTACTGAGATCAGGGAACATCAGCAAATTTGTTGCAGAGATGATGAACTGTGAGTATAATGAATGGTTAGAGAAACCCTATCTTCTGTAAAAGGAAGCTTTTTTTCAGAATATATATTAAATGCCCATGCAGGGGCAGGATCATTATGGCCTACCATTCTTCTCATCTAACCTATGAATGC